TCTTTTTTATATTTTAAAATTTTTTTAAACATTTTGTCAATTACCAAACGCGTTTGTAGTTTATATTTTTCTAAAAATAAACAAAAAATAAACAAAAACCAGTTTATAAAATTTTTGTAAATATAAACTGAAAACGTAAACGTTACCAAACATACTCTTAACTTTCGCTCGATGACTCTCTACTGTAAAAGTTCTCAAGAACATCATAATTTTACATCACTGTTGTATGACCTAATAGTACTTTATCTCCTTATCTTTTAAAAATAGTCATATATTCTCTATGTGATTTTGGATTAAAATGCAACGTTAACTCTATTAATATTAACAAAAAAAATATTATTATGCCCTTTATGTATTTTTCTTCTATTTTTGACTCTCTTTGTAAATAAATACATAAATTTATCTTCATTACTAAGGAAAAAAATTTAAAACATATCACAAAAATCATTTTCATTTTCCCAAATATTTTTTTTAACAAACTTAATTTTAAATTTTAATTAGATATTATGATATACATGTAGGGGGAAGAGAGATGGATGCTGGCCACAACAATGGAGATGCTGATCATGAATGGACGATCGTCTCTAGAAAGCAAAGAAAACCTAGAACATCCCCCACCATCTTCATAGCCAACATTCCAGAGCAGCTGCAGGTGGATTCCCTGAAGGGCATTTTTCAAAGATTTGGAAGGGTTGTTCACGCTTCAATTCCAAATAGAAGAACCAAGCGTTTCAACTCAAGATTTGGCTTTATCCGTTACGAGAGTCCAGCTTCGGCAGAGGAGGCAGTTCGAAAATTCAACAGAGCATGGTATGGTGATTATCATCTTATTGTCAAGCCTGCCAGATTTGAGAGACCACCATATCCTAAGCACTTTCAAGCAGAACAAAAATTGAGATCCAATTTTCATGAAGCTCGTTATTCCAACACATTGAATTTGCCAAGTGTGCAAAATCAAAACAAACCTTCTTATGCAGACATTGTAAAAAGCAATGTTCTAGCTTGTGACCAAGCTAAAAAGATACAAGTTTCTGAACCTTCTATCAAAGTACACGCGACGGAAGCGGGTAATGAATGGCTCTATAGGAGTGTGGTGGTGAAAGCAAGCCTTCCAAATGCATATCAGTCCATATCGAGCTCCTTTTCTCCTGAGGATGCCAAGAAAATTCAGGTGCGTGCTATGGGGGGTAAATCATATGTTCTAACTTTTGAATCCCAAGAAGATATGAGAAACAGAATCCACAAAAACAAGGATTGGTTTAATTCAAGATTTGAGGATGCACAAGAATGGTCTCTTTGGAAACTATCCAATCTTAGCTCAAGAACAGTGTGGATCAACTGCTATGGAGTTCCACTGAATCTCTGGAATTTCAACACATTCAAGAGCATAGGAAGAGTTTGGGGTGAAGTGATCATGGTTGATGATTCAACGTTGAAGCATCTGTCTTTTGAATGTGGAAAAGTTATGATAATAACAAATCAGTTCGAGGTTATTAATCACGCCATCACCTTGGTTTGTAAGCATGAAGAACATGTTATCCGTGTTACAGAGGAACAGATTATGAGCACTCATACGTCAAAGGCTGCTAGAGAATTCTCTGGTAAAGAAGATGATGACGTGTCTATCCCTGTGGATGTGGACAATGTGCACCCAATACGCGTCGAACAGCATGGCACCAAATTTTCAAACGAAAATGAATTGATCTCCCAAGCCAGAATTCTAACAGATGAGAGACAACCCTCATTGAATGGGGAACGGGGATGTCAGAGCACGCCTACTGTTAGCAGCCATGCCGTTAAGGAAGCTGATAAGTCTTCTCGTTCAAATTTTAAGGAGCTGGGCCAAACCTCTATTTGCAAAAATAAACAGGTTGTTTCTAGCCCAATTAACCCTTTGCTCCCTTTAAGCCCATCATCTCCAATCTCATCATCCCCATCTGTTGCTAAACCTCAGCCTCATTTTAACCAATTGAGCTCTTCACATTTGGTCGGCCCATCACATACAAAAATGATCCATCAGGAGGACCCAATCCAATCTGTTGTTATCTCCCAAACCCACATTCGTGCTCCTCTAGTCATCCCTAATTCCCAATCTCCCATCCTCTGTCCTCACCTCCGTTGCTATCATTCTCCATCCCCCCATCCTCCCATTCCATCTCATCCAGATCCTATTGTGAATTCCTCTCTGTCAATCGTCCCAGACTCATTTCTTTCCGAATCTAATTCTCTCGAACCAGCTCCCAGAGCATCTGATAACCATTGGATTGATTCAGTTGTTGGAACCTCTAAACCGCTAGTGGGCCTATCCAAAAGAAAGAGTAAAAGGAAATTTCTGCAGCACGTGCTTGGTAATGTATCAGCCAACAAGTTCATCAGAAGAGGGGGCAGGAAAAAGGGCGGAAAAGCTGCATCATTCCGATCAGCGGCAACAGCAATTTCGTTATCAATTTCTTCAGAGGCCATTGCTAATCGAAATCGCATTATCCTTAACGAAGCCCAGGCAGTGTGGGAAATTGGGAAGCTCCTTGGCCTGAAAAGTAATGAAGAAGATGATGAGGTCGTTAGTAAGCTTAAAGAGCTCCATGACCAAAATGAGCTTCAGCATAATGAAACAGAAGGTGAGAGGAACTAACTCTCTACCCATTCGGCCTATCCATGGATTTTTAATATTGTTTTCCATGAAGATTATCTCTTGGAATATAAGGGGCTTAGGGAAAAGGGAGAAAAGAAGAGGAGTTAAAAATCTTATCTCTCAGCATAAAGTCGACTTTCTGCTCCTTCAAGAAACAAAGGTAGCAACAATCACAAATCAACTCATCCACTCTATTTGGCCCCACAATGATCCGGGTTTTGCAGCAGTGAAGGCTGAGGGATCTTCGGGCGGTATTATTAGCGTCTAGGATAAATTAGTATTTTCAGTTTCTGAATGCATTCAGAGACCGAACTTCATACTTCTAAAAGGTACGATCTCTCCGGACTTTGATTGTATTTTGATTAATATTTATGCTCCTAATGAAGCCAGGGCAAGGAAAATTCTCTGGGATGAATTATTAAGCCTCAGAGTTAGTTATGATTTACCATGGTGTATTGGGGGAGACTTTAATGAAATTATTGGAATTGGGGAAAGAAAAGGCTGTCTTACAATCTCTGCTAGTATGAAACAACTCAGTGACATGGTGCCCAATCTGGGGCTTAGAGACCTTCCCCTGCAAGGAAGATCTTTCACTTGGTCAAATAATCAAGAGGCTGACAGATGGAGCAGATTAGATAGGTTTCTCCTTCACTCACAATGGTTGGACAGATTCGATTTTAAACAATGGGGTCTTCAACGATTATTATCCGATCATTTTCCAATTCTCCTCATGGTGGATAATAGAGATTGGGGTCCAAAGCCGTTCAGGTTCCTCAATGCCTGGACCTCCCATCCTAAATTCCTAAATGTTGTCAAAGGTGCATGGAATCAGAGTGTGCACCTTGGTTGGGCTGGGCACAGAATTTTCATGAAGCTCAAGGAAGTGAAATCAGCTCTCAAACAATGGAATATAGAGGAGTTTGGTGATCAGAATGAAAAATTAATTTCCATTGGTAATCAATTACACACGCTGGATCTCCTTCAAGAGACCCGTTCTTTATCTGAGGAGGAGTCAACAAGCAAGAGGAAGCTGGAATTCGATTTCTGGAAAACTTCAAGGCTGATTGAGAGCATTTGGTTGCAAAAATCAAGGCAAGTGTGGTTCAAGAATGGAGATAAAAACACCAAATATTTCCATATGATTGCAAGCACAAGGCAGAGGAAAAATTCATTTGGCAATCTATTTATCAACGGAACATACTTAGAAGATCCGGAGCAAATAAAAAGAGCAGTTAGGTCTCATTTTCAGAATTTTTTCTCCGAAAAGTGGCCCTCAAGACCCACATTTTCAGAACCTTTTCAGCGCTCCCTTTCTGATTTGGATGCATCTCTGTTAGAACAACCTTTTTCTGAGACTGAGATCCTGGATGCTATAAATCATTGCGAAGGTAATAAGGCTCCTGGTCCTGACGGCTTCAATATGAAATTCATCAAAAAATGCTGGGCCTTCATAAAAGCAGATCTTTGTCTCTTCTTCAATGAATTCCATCTTAACAGCAGGATTAAGAAAGGCCTGAATTCCACCTTCTTAACCTTGATTCCAAAAATTCCAAACCCATCTTCTCTATCTGACTACAGACCCATCAGCTTGCTAGGCTGTATCTATAAGGTTCTAGCCAAGGTCTTATCAAGTAGATTGAAATCTGTTTTGCCAAAACTGATAGATGAAACTCAATCAGCTTTTGTAAAAGGGAGGCAAATCTTGGATGGTTGAAGGGCTAAATATTCTCATCCAAAGAGCCAAAAATCTCAATCTTATCAAGGGAGTGGATATCGGTAGCTCGGGATTGAACCTTTCACATCTGCAATTTGCAGATGACACTCTTATGTTCTGCAATCCAGATTGGGATGAGATAATAAATCTGAAAAGAATTCTCAGTTGCTTCGAGTTAATTTCCGGACTGAAGATTAATTACCAAAAGTCTGTAATTTGTGGAGTTGGGGTTAACAGGGACTTCACCTCTCAAGTAGCCGAATTCTTCAACTGCAGGGTGAGTTCGTTACCAATCAATTATCTTGGAATGCCTCTAGGGGCCAACCCAAAAAGACTGTCTACTTGGGAGCCTATCATAAATAAAGTGAAGAAAAGACTAGCCTCATAGAAGAAGAGGTATCTTTCTCTTGGAGGGAGAATCACTTTGATTAAATCTGTACTTTCTTCACTTCCAATCTATTATATATCCCTTTTCAAAATTCCTACCCAAGTGGCAAACCTTATTGATAAATATCAGAGATCCTTTTTATGGGGGGATAGTGATGTCAAAAGGAAATTGCATTTACCCAACTGGGAGACATGCTCTGTTAGCAAACACTTTGGAGGTTTGGGCTTCAGAAAGACTAAGGAAGGCAATGATACTCTCCTATGCAAATGGTGGTGGAGATTCGCCACCGAAAAAAGTTCCTTGTGGAGGAAAGTTCTTTGTGCCAAAAACAATGTGAACGAAGATTGTTGGTTGCCAAATGGTTCAAGCTTCAGATTTTCATCTGCAGTGTGGAAAAGTATCTCAACTATGGAAAGGTATGGATCTAGAGCAATTGCATTATTTTTGGAAAATATTCAGTTCAAGCTAGGGGATGGTAAAAGATTTAAATTTTGGTTGGATGCTTGGGTCTCATGTACTCCTTTGTCCAACCTCTATCCTAGACTTTTCTCTCTTGCTACAAGCAAAGATTCATTCGTACACCAGTATTTGTATCAGGCTGCGGATAATCAAACTCATTGGAATATCTCATATAGGAGAACCCTGAGAGCTTGGGAAGATGAGCTAGAGCAATTGCATTATTTTTTGGAAAATATTCAGTTCAAGCTAGGGGATAGTAAAAGAATTAAATTTTGGTTGGATGCTTAGGTCTAATGTACTCCTTTGTCCAACCTCTATCCTAGACTTTTCTCTCTAGCTACAAGCAAAGATTCATTCGTCCACCAGTATTTGTATGAGGCTGCGGATAATCAAACTCATTGGAATATCTCATATAGGAGAACCCTGAGAGCTTGGGAAGATGAGTTGCATCTTGAGCTGATTAGTAGACTGCCACAACCTCTCAGCATTAATAACAATTGTGTGGATCATCTATTATGGACTGCTTTCCCATCAGGCTCCTTTATAGTTAAATCTCTTTATGAAATTTTTGAAAATTCTCTTCGTTTAACCCCTTTTCCGATTATGAAGATGTGGAAATCAGCAGCCCCTCCCAAAATTAAAGCTTTTGGTTGGCTTGTTTGGTGGAATCGAATCGCCTCCTCGGATCTCCTTGCTCGCAGGCTCATTATCCCCGCAATCAATCACTGTGCATTCTGCGGTATTGATAACGAATCTGCTTTGCATTTGCTCTTGCATTGTAATTTTGCTTGGAAGGTTTGGGCTGAAATTATTTGTTGGTGGGGTTCCCAATGGGTTTCCCCTAGTTCCTTACAAGACTTGCTTTTATGGTGGTATGGTCAAAAGTACAAAAACCTGGGTAAACTCATCTGGGAGGTAATTCCATTGGCTGTGGTTTGGAGCTTATGGATTGCAAGAAACAACATGGTTTTTAACTCTAAAGTTCCTGTTTGGGGAAATATTGTGGATAGTATCAAGATCAAAGTGGCCACATGGGTGAAGTTTTATAGTCATTTGCCTAATTACACAATCCATGATTTCATGCACTGTTTGGATGGATTGAAGGGCCATAAATTGTAGTTTCCAGCAGGATGTAGTCCTCTGTTGTTTTTTTTTCATTTCCAGTTTTGGTTGAGGTCTCATCAACCTTTGTATCAGTCTTGGCTTGCATATGATTGGGCTCAATTATAGGTGCCAACCTAGTTGGGATGTATTTTTGAGCTATGATGCAATTCAGTCAAGTCCTTCTTTTCTATCTATTTATCAATAATATTCTTTCTTTGCTGATCAAAAAAATGATATACATGTATATATACATATAACAAATTAAACCATAAATTAATTACAGTAATATATGTATATATTTAATTCAAAATGCTATTAAATAATAAATTGAGTTAAGAATTAAATAAAAAATTAAGGTATTTTTATGATTTAATTTTATGGTACATGTTTAATTTGAAATGTTATTAAATAATAAATTGAGTTAAAAATTAAAAATTAGATTAAGGTACTTTTATGATTTAATTTTATGGTAATAAATTAAATTGTTTAGGTTAATTTATGATTTTATTTGTTTTATATATATGTGTGTGTGTGTGTGTGTGTGTGTGTTTAATTTAAAATGTTATTAAATAAGGTAATTTGACGGTAATAAATTAGGGTGTTTAGTTTAATTTATGATTTAATTTGTTTTATATATATATATATATGTTTGTGTTTATTTTAAAATTTTATTAAATAAAAAATTGGGTTAAAAATTAAAAATTAGATTAAAGTAGTTTGATGATTTATTTTTATAATAATAAATTAAGGTATTTAAGTTAATTTATGATTTAATTTGTTATATATATAATATGTATGTTTATTTTAAAATGTTATTAAATGAGAAATTGGGAAAAGCACCACTAAATTCCATTTTCATATCTTAATAACCAATAAGTCTTCCAAATAATCTAATGAACCCAATAGTTCCATTTCTATGGAAATGACAGTATAATTCTATCGGTTGCACTTGTTGATGCTAGTTAATACCTATGAAGGATTGAAATCTCCACTGTTGGAAATTACAAATTTGTCCAAACCTTATTAAGGGGTTTTTGTACATTTTTTTAAAATGTTTGAAAAATCTCACATTTCAAACCATTCCAAATAAAAAAGATTCTCATATCAGAATCCACTCCAAATATGTATACCAACACCACACCCCAAAAAGATTTCTATATCATAAGATTTTATACTCAATGAAAATTAATGTAGACGGACACAATGTTACATATTTTTTTGTTTTTTGATAGCATGTTTAATGTGAAATAGTGTGGACCTGTATAGTGTGATATTGATTTTTTTTTTTTTTGGGTATGCAAGGCATTTGTGTCATTAGATTCACTCAATTGAATTCTACTAAATAAATTACTCAAATCCCCACAATTTGAATTATAAATTTGCCCAAATCTTACAAATGGGTTTTTGCACTCTTTTTGAAATATTTGAAGAATTTCACATTTCAAGCCATTTTAAATAAAAAAGATTCTCATATCATAATTCACCGCAAATTTTAATACCTACACACCACCCCAAAAAGATATTCATATCAGAAGATTTTACACTCAATGGAAATCAATGTGGGTTACATTTTTTTAAATAGTATGTTTAGGGGTGGTTTGGCATAACCTATTTTAGCCAATCTTTTTATTTTTTTATCTTTTTTGAGTCACATCAATCAACATTTCCTCTCTACTTTTCTACCCATCTTTTCATAAAAAATTAAAAAGTACACTTATTTAGGACATCCCAAACCACCTTTAATGTGAAATAATGTGGACTTGTACAATGTGACATTTTTTTTTTTTATTTTTTTTTATTATTATTATTTTTGGTGTGCAAGGCCTTTGTGCCACTTTTTGGTGTGAAGGCCTTTGTACCACTAGATTCAATCAATTGAATGCCATAAAATGATAAGTTGTGTACCTTACTTTTCCAATACAAAAGACAAAAATAAGGTAACGTAATAAAAATAAGGGTATAAATTTTAAAAAATTATATTAAATCCACATTTCTAAAATTAATAAGATTAATTGGTCTATAAAAACACTACAACAAAAAGCATTTTTGGCGACGTTTTTTAGCAACCAAATTGAATTTAGTTGCCAATTGTATATTTTTGGCGACAATATACGTTTTGGTCGCCAAAAAATACACAATTAGCAACAAATATCTCAATTGGTCGCCAAAAATGGTTGGCGCCAATTTAATTTTTTGCGCGGGAGCGCTAAAAATGTTTTAGCGACCAAATTAATATATGGCGACGAAATTGTTTGTCGCCAATTGTGACTTTTTGGCGACGAAATTAAAATAGTCGCTGAAAGGTAATGATATTTATGGCAACATAATGATTTTCGTCGCCAATAAATATTTTGTCAAAACGACGTCGTTTTGAAGCTGTCTTTTTTTTTTATTTTTTTTTATTTTTAATGACCTTTATGTGAATAAAGAAGATTGACCTAATATTCATCTCATTCTACAGCCTGAAACGGCACAGCAAAAGACAAAGAGGTATGTCTTCTCTCCTTCTTCTTCGTCTCTCTCTCCCTCTTCTCGTCTCTCTCTCACTCTCACTCTCACTCTCACTCTCTCACACTGTCTCATCTTCCTCTCTTTCTTCTTTATCATCAATTTCATTCTCTTGTTCGGCATGGCAGAACACAACACAACATTGATATTGGGATTGATTTTTCCCTCACTCTCTCACAATCTCTCATCTTCATCTTTTTCTTCTTTGTCATCAACCTAATTTTTCAGACTGATATTTTGATTTTTCGGACTGATATTGTGATTTTCGGGACTGGTATATTCTGAATTTCGGACTGATTTTAGAACTGATTTTTGGATTTTGGGACTGATATTCTGATTTTGTATTTTTTGGGGACTGATATTATAATTTTGGGACTAATTTTGGGGCTGATATTTTGATTTTGGGACTGATTTTGGCGTCGCATTTTCAAAAAGTGGAGCAGCAGAGGTATTCTATGCAAGTGAAACAAGAAAATGGATATGTATATGTTTCTCTATTTGAGTACTCTGTTGCTT